GGTAATGGACAGTTTTTGAGTGAACTTGAAACCCGACACGACCCGTTCTTTACAATAAAACTTAAAACTCGATTAAGTAGCCCTAATCCTCTGTTCTCTCTCCCCTCATTTGTACGGTTGTGCCCACTGCCCTAATCCTCTGACTCTGTTTCTCTTTGGACTCCGTCGACCTTGACGCTCGCCTCCGCCGACTTCGACGCTTGCCTCCGCCGACTTCGACGCTCGCCTCCGCTCTTCTTCGGACTCCGTTGACCTCAACGCTATCAATTTCGACGCTGCTCTCTCATCAACATTAACTTCATCGACTGATGTTGTGCTCTCTCCATCGACGCCATCATCAACTGATCTGATTGACTCGACGACGTTGAACGACGCTGAGCTCTCCATCGATGCCGAGCTCTCTCCATCGACGCCATCATCAACTGTGACTTCGAAAGTTTGACTTGGACTCTCCATTGACGCCACGCCCTCAACACAACTTCTGAAGTTGTAGTAACAAATAATATTCACCATTTAGTTGGTTTTTTCTCTAGTTATTTAGTGAAGGTTGAGAGAATTAAAGTGTGGAGTATGGTTAGATTACAATTTGGGGCATTATATTATATATACACAACATACGGTATATCACTCCGATAAATACTACTTATCCCCGATATATCCCCGATTTCCGCTATCCGATAAGGATTTTGGCCGTCCGATAAATCCCTGATAACCGATATTTAAAACCTTGTCATTAATGGGCACCATCTTCTCAATAACTTGATAAAGGCCTTTCATAACCTCATTATCCCCTTGTATATTAGGGTGATCATAGGAAAATACAGGATTAAGGTAATATCCTGCCGCGTGCAAAGACTGATGAAGTTGATCTTGCCACCTCTTATCAATGATCTAAAAAACAAGTGCATATTTTGTTGCATCATCATTAAAGGCTCTTTCAATAGCCTCCTTCGATCTATCCATCGTCTCATAAATATAACCCATAGCAAGCCTCTTCTCATTGTCAACAAGCTTCAAAACATGGACTAGAGGAGCTGTAAGCTTAATATATGAACAATATTGTTCCAGAAAGAAGGCATGTGAACTATCCTCTCAGTTGATTTGTCCTTTGGATCTCTTACCTACTTACTTTGTTACCATTTCTCTAAGTTGAACATCTTCCTGAGATTGCTTTTTTGCTTGTGGATGTTGGACAAACTACAAAGTCATAAAGGAAGTTACAAATTGTGTCATTGCCGGTTGGAGGAGCTCTCTGTAGTTAGTCTGGTCTCTCATCAATTTTAAAACCCACCCATGTTAGTAGATGAATCCTGTCAGCTCCATAGCTCGACTCAAGGTCGACTTCACAGATGGTAATTTGTCAATATCCTTCAACATAAGATTGATACAATGAGCAATACATGAGGTCCAATATAAATGATGATATTTAGCCTCCAATAATTTTCTTATATCAAAATTAAAATCATGATCAGAATTGAATAACATGCATAATAAATTACTCATAATGAAAATGAACTCAATATCTAAAATTTTACATGCTAGCTTGAGACTAGAATGATTATTTGTAACAATCTGCACCTATGAAGCACGGACACGCATAACATGAAGCCGTGTCGTGTCGTGTCCGTGTCGGACACACGTGTCGAACACACGTATCCTATGTATTTTTTAGGATTTGCCTCGTGTCAGCGTGTCGGATGGCCGTGTCGGATCCGTGTCCGTGCTACATAGGTATTTTTTAGGATTTGCCTCGTGTCAGCGTGTCGGATGGCCGTGTCGGATCCGTGTCCGTGCTACATAGATCTGCACAACATTCTGAGGTCTTATCAGCTTAATCTACTCATCAAATATTTGATACATTCTTTCACTCGTCTTAATCTCCTCGGAAGCATCAATAGAAGAAAGAAATACTGTATAAAGAGGAGAATTTGTGAGAAAATTGAACAATGACCTATCCTTCCGATCACTCCAACCATCTGACATGAAAGAACAACCTTTGGTGACCACACCTCTTTATGAGGTTTCAGAAAATCTTCGGTGTATTTTTTCTCCTTAAGCAAAGTCTCTCTTAAGTGGTGGAATGTCTGATGTGGCAAGTTAGGCCCAAAAGCTCCCACGGATTTCAACATAATTCTGAATGACCTAAGTCGTGCTGCATTAAAAGAAATGTTGGCTTGATATCACCAACAAGCAATGTCTTTGTGCACTTTAGCTATTGCATCTTTTTTTAGGCTTTCATCAATACATGTTTGCCTCAACTTACGTCTTCTATCATCCTTACCGACCTCTAGCGCTAGATCAAATGTGAGACATGCATTTATCGGCCCTTTCCTCTTTGTTGAAGATCCCCACACTATTCAAGCCTAAACTTTCCTTCCTCTTGCTGTTATGGAAGATGATCTACGAGTAGGAGCCAATGGACATTTCCCCTTGTCTCTAGTTGTTTGTAGTTATTCCTTTTCAAGCTCCTCATCTTCATCGATCTCTAACATATTTTCATCTCTAAGTTTCGGAAGGTAATCATCCATAGCTTGTTGTCTTTTGGCACTCTCTTGCCTTTCTTCATACTCTTTTAGCTCTTAAAGTACATCGGGAGGGGCTTTTTGACAAAGGGAAACATTTTGCGTTTCTTGTTTGCCGCAATAAGATACTCCTTTTATCTTGATATACCGTCATTTGTGATCTTATTACAAAAGATGCACTTGTGCTTGTTGGCATTTCCTTCATCCATAAGTGAAGTGTATTTCCACGTAGGATCATGTCTTCTCCCACTACCCGCCAGTGAAAACATACCTAATTACACAAAAACACATAAATTAACAACTATACTACGTAAGTACATAGATTTAGGGAATCACACTTCTACTTTAATTTTTATTATTTCATAATCATACAAATTATACATAATCATATTAGTGTATTGCATCAGTAGCAATTACATCACTAACAATTACATTGCTCATTTGCTATTTACATATTACAAAAGGAAAATTGGCTACGACGGCTAGTAGCAACAATATTCATGAGTCTCAAAACAATGTTAAATGAACAATATAGCAACAAATATCTAATAATCATATTAGTCTCAAAACAATGTTCAATGAACAATATAGCAACAAATATCTAATAATCAACCAAATCTTTGGACTGTTACTGCAGCAGTAACAGTACTCCCATTGTAGTAACAACAGTACTATTACTGCAGCAGCAACAGTAAGGCAGTCGGTTCAAAAGAAAAAGAAAGAAAAAAGAAAAAGAATTAGAAGAGAAAGGAGCTGTAGCAGTGAATTAGGGGGAAAAGAAAATAAAGAAAAAAAAAACGGAGAAGAAGGAGAAGAAGAGAGACTGACCTTGGCCCCGTTGCCGTGCGTTGTTGCTCCGACCTTTTGCGGTGTTGTTGTTGCCGGCCTTTTGTAAAAGTGAGAGGAAGCAGTGGAAAAAAGAAATCCTAGCTCTAGTTGACCAGATTAGGTGAGGTAAGTCTAGTGGGAATTGGGTCTAGACCTGATAACCCGCTATTTCTAAATTAAAAAAACATGTTAACCCGCTATTTCTCAAACGCACGCCCCACGCAATGCGCGAGGCGCTTGAGGGACGCTCTCAGGCGCGCGCCTGAGGGAAGCACAACACCCCGCACTTGATGCGGGACGCTGTGCTTGCGCGCCGCAGCGCATCGCGCCTCAGATCGCCTCTAATAACTCAAATCGCCTCTAATAACACTGGTCGAGTTGAGAATCCAAGAGTGCTGGTAATTTTGGACACCCATGTGAATAGCAGGGCATATCTGAGTGCGCAAGAGCTGTGGATGAAGCTGATACATCCAGTTAATTCAATAGTTAACAAATTCCATCACGTTTAAGTAATATATTCAGTAGGCGATGCTGTGACTTTAGAAGTTGACAAATGTTGGTCAAGCGCAACAGTTACAAAGCTGACCTTTGAGATGGTACAATGCAGTATGGACTAGTTTGGGCCTTATTATAGATTTGTTATCGTCACTATCATTCATCAATTTTAGTGAGCGACTTTATTTTCTATCTCCCAGGAGATACTCTGGTAAATCTTCTGGTAAATCTTGCCTTTCCTGAGCGTATACGTCAATTATCGTTATCACCTGTTGTCCCTCCGTCCGCTAGAACTATATCCATTTCATTGAAACTTTGTGGGAACTAAAGATAGTGCCAAAGACTCTTGGTCAGGAGCCACTTACTATATTCCTCTAGATTTGAGAGTAGATGTTGAAGAGCAAAGAGAGATCATCTTTCCCAGAATTAGTCCATGTTCAATTCATACTCTAATTTAATCCCTCCAGAGAATAAAAAAATATGATTCTTCTGCAGTTGCTTTTGATACTGTTGGACACCATGTGCACACTTCCATTCCGGCAACTGAGAGTGGTTCAACTCCTGCCTCCTGCCATAGGCGTTGGGTTGTAGAAAAATAAGAAGCAACACTCTGATCCCCTCAAAGAAGATTATAAAACTTCCGGTGGATCTGGGGAACAGGAGCCAAACTTCTAGATTCTGCGTCTCATTATTTCTCTTTCCCATTCTGTGAGAGTTTGACTAATAGAAGAAATCATTTTTCCCGACAACCAAAACTCCATCATTGCGTTCTCTTGTTCTCGATTCGCGTTCTTCAGATTATCTTTAAACTCCAATTTTTTAATCTTCCTTAAATGACATTCCTTTTGGACAAATATACATCCACGCTGAATGAGACCTCTCCAAATAACTTTCATTGTCTAACTTAATAGAAGTGATTTGGAGGTTAGAATGTTTACTCCATGGAATAGCCTGAACACACACATCACTCACCAGATTAACAGATTTGTTGATATTTCTTTAACTCAAGCTCATTTCAGCTTATACAAGGTGTCTAGTTCCTGGAAATATTCAGGTTATCTTTTTTTATTAAAAAATGGAAAAGAAAAATGTTTCTCTCATGAATTGAGGCTAACCATCTGCAGGTAATTTATTCCATTGCATAAATTTATGCAGATCTTTGCCTGGTAACAAAATAACTGGTGAAATTCCAAAACAGTTCGGGAATTTGTCAAGCTTGACAAGTTTGATCTTGGAAAATAATCAATTAACTGGAGAGATTCCAAGTTCTCTCGGGAACCTCACTAAGCTTCAAATTTTGTAAGTTGGATCATATGTCTACCTTCTATATTAATATATAAAATTTAAGCCCACCTGATTCTTAATCTGAAACTGTGATTTGGTGGTTGCATAAGCAGGATTCTGAGTGAAAATAATCTCAATGGAAATATTCCTGATTCTCTTTCAAATCTTTCAAGCTTAAACGATGTGTAAGTGCCTTAATTACAAAATATTTATGTTTCTTTTACTAGTTTATTTTATATATATCCTTTAGCCAAGTTGAATAATATGATGTTAAAGTGGGTTTGTCTTTCTATAATTGACCATACACATTTTTGGTTTCACTCGCAGTCGTCTAGCATTCAATGATCTCACTGGTCAGATACCTGATCGTCTGTTTAGAATTGCCAAGTACAAGTATGGATAATTCTGTGACCCCTGATCTTTATGCTAACATTATCTTTAGTCGATCAAGACTATTGAATGATATTATGTTGGTTGCTTGTCTCATTTTTATGTCTCAGATGGTAGTGCCTGATGAAATCATTATATTGACAGTTTTACAGGGAACAACCTAAATTGTGGGACAAAACTTGAATTACCTTGTGCATCTAATTTATCTGATGCTGGTAAGCTACAATATTTTTGGTGATGTTATTTAACTCGATTTTCTCTAAGTTTATATAATAGTGAAACATTAGGTTTTGACTAGAAATCCTCACATTTCCCTATCCTTAATCTTGACAGGAGGATCTCATCATTCAGAGCTTGGTGCAGTACTTGGAAGTATTGGAGGAGCATTGGCGCTCCTTATTGTTGCCGGGGTTGCACTTTTCCTGTGGAAGCGTAAACGGAGAGGCTATCGGCGTGAAGTTTTTGTTGATGTTGCAGGTTTGTCCTTTGATTCTTCACTGGACTTATTGTTGCAGTGACTTTACAATTGTTCAATACAATTAAATTCCTCCCCTTGAGATTTACTCCGACAGTTCAAACTGCAACATCTTTTGATTCCTCTTTAACCAGAGATTTTGTCTACATTGTTATACACAGGTGAAGATGATCGACGAATTGCATTTGGACAGCTCAAAAGGTTTGCATGGAGGGAATTGCAAATTGCAACAGACAGCTTTAGTGAGAAAAATATTCTTGGTCAGGGAGGATTTGGGAAAGTTTATAAAGGAGTCCTTCCAGATAATACAAAAATTGCAGTAAAGCGATTAACTGATTATGAAAGTCCTGGCGGAGAAGCTGCATTTTTGCGTGAAGTTGAATTAATAAGTGTTGCTGTTCACAGAAATCTTTTAAAGTTGATTGGTTTCTGTACAACACCTTCAGAGCGGCTTCTCGTTTATCCTTTCATGCAGAACTTGAGTGTTGCCTATCGCTTAAGAGGTGAAAGTTCATGCCTTTTTTACGTCCTTCCATTTATTGATGACTCATGATGTCTTTATGAGCATTTGTCACTTGCTAGATATTTTATATAGTGTTTTACTGACGTACCTCACACCGTAGACTTTGCAATACATATAATTTTGTATTCATGATCTGTTGATTAATGTGTTATCCCATGTGTCTCCACTGTTTTCTCCTCTCTTCTAGTTCTTTGTTCATGTATTATTGGTTTGCTTTCCTAGCCCTAACGTCATTGGTAATATTAACTAATCTAACGCAAGCTTGAGTGCCGTGTTAAATTTTTTGATCTCATTTAATATCTTATTTTTATATTTTATACTATATTTACGACCTTACTGTCATCTTGATGTGGACTGAGAATCTGGAAGAAGTTTTTCTGTTGATTTACTTTTATTCCCTACTTAATACTGTAAACCGTTGTGCAGATACCTACTAGTGATGTTCTAGAGTAATTATTTTATCATGCTTTACAAAAGAAAAAGTTATGTGTAGACTCTAAAAGACTTGTCTACTTAGTGGCATGGAAACGGGTACCGGTACGGGTGTGGGTACAGGAAGGGGACATGACAAATGTGTAAAAGGTAGGGTACGGAGACACAACTACATATTTATATTGAAATTAATAATTTACATGAGATTATTATTGTTTTTCAATTCATGTGTTACTAGAATTGAAATTCCTATCATATTTTAAAGTTTTTTTTCTCATTATGTTTAGTATATATTGGACTAGACAACCAAATGACCATTTAAAACCATAGTTTTTGAACTTGGGTATGCGCTTAAACAAACCTGACCCACGTCTAACAAGTAACGAGTTTCAAAAATGATGTGAAGTGTATGATATATGTCAAGAAGTGTATGAAAAGTTGTTGGGCGCAGAGTCACGCCCACCGCCGCGGAAGCGATATCACCTGAGAGAGAGCCCTGGTTTTTGTTATCACAAAAACACAAGTCAACCTCTATATTCTTGTTTCTCAAAGGAAACGAGAATAGATAATGAAATTCTTATTTCTCAAAGGAAACAAGAATTAAAAGTGATATATTTCATCAAAGTAAAATATACACTCTTCCTCTCATCAGCTCTAAGACCGAATATTGAGGGAACCTATAAGCAATAGCCAACACCCAGAAAACAGTAAATACACGAGATTTACGTGGTTCGGCAAACTTGCTTACGTCCACGGGAGGGGTGAGGGGAGATTCCACTATGAGAAGAACACCGACGACTTGTACAATCCACAAGCTCGTCTCTAAGAAAAAGATCTAATTTTTACCCAAAAGAAATAAACCTCTCTTTTGTAAAATCTCTCTTTTTCCTCTCCTCAAAACTCTCTTTTTCTCTCTCAACAACTGCTGCAAGTACTCTTTTTCTTCCTCTACTCAGCAGTCAAAAGAAAACTACGATTTTCCCAGCAGCTTTTCACCAAGCCGCTGTTCCCTTTAGCCTTTTGTTCCCTGCTGCAGCGGACTAAAATTTCACCCACACACAAAACCCTAGGTATCATAGGTATTTATAGGAGATTGATGCGGTTAAAAACAAACAAAAGTGGGCCTTGGCATTTACCCGCTGGGCATTGACCAAAAAAACTCCTCACGCACACTTGGGTGGCCCCCACTTGCACTTGCCACCGGTGTTCACAATTCTCCACCTCGTACATCATTTGATAAACCTCAAATTTTGGACGAACACCAGAAGAACACTGTGACCACCTTGGTCAACATGTCTGCTGGATTCTCATTCGTATGCACCTTCATGAGAGAAATATCACATTCCTCTATGACGTCCCGCACGAAATGATACCTGACATCGATATGCTTGGTACGAGCATGATGAACTTGATTCTTCGCCAAGTGAATCGCACTCTGACTGTCGCACCACAAGTTCACGTTCTCCTGCTCAATTCCCAAATCGTCTAGAAGACCCCACAACCACAATGCTTCCTTCACTCCCTCCGTCATGGCCATGTACTCGGCCTCTGTAGTAGAAAGTGCCACTGTAGCCTGTAACATCGATCACCAACTAACTGGAGCTTCATGTATCCTGAATACATAACCAGTAGTAGATCGCCGTCTATCTAGATCTCCCGCATAATCTGAGTCAACAAACCCGTCAATCTGACATGTATCTCCACCAAAACACAGACCCGTATCCGTGGTACCTTTCAAGTACCTCAGGACCCATTTCATCGCTTCCCAGTGCGTCTTTCCCGGATTCGCCATGAATCTGCTAACCACACTAACCGCCTATGAAATATCTGGACGTGTACACACCATGGCGTACATCAAACTGCCAACTGCACTAGCATAAGGAACACGCTTCATGTGTGCTTTATCTTCCGTTATAGTGGGAGATTGTTTACCTGAAAACCTAAAGTGTGAAGCCAATGGAGTCGTCACCGACTTAGCACTTTGCATCCCGAACCTCACGATCACCCGCTCTATATAGCCCTTCTGACTCAAGAACATTCGCCGATTCGCCCGCTCTCTTCTAATCTCCATACCCAGTATTTTTCTAGCAGCGTCCATGTCCTTCATCTCGAACTCTTTACCAAGTTGAGATTTCAACCTATCTATCTCCACCCCGCTCTTAGAAGCAATAAGCATGTCATCCACATACAAAAGGAGATAGATATAATCACGTCCACGAAGCTTCCGAATGTAAACACAGCAATCGTAATCACTTCGGGAAAATCCATGCTTCAGCATGAAGGAGTCAAATCGCTTGTACCACTGCCGAGGAGATTGCTTCAGTCCATAGAGTGACTTCCTCAAGCGACATACATGATGCTCCTTATCCTCAACCTTGTAACCCTCAGGTTGATGCATGTAGATCTCTTCATCCAAGTCTCCGTGCAAGAAAGCTGTTTTAACATCGAGTTGTTCCAGCTCAAGATCACCATGAGCAACAATACTCAATAGCACCCGAATAGAAGTGTGTTTCACCACCGGAGAAAATATCTCATTGTAATCCACACCTTCTCTTTGTGCAAACCCTTTAGCCACTAGCCTCGTCTTGTACCTTGTACCACCGAGCTCTGAAGGATCTTCCTTTCTCTTATACACCCACTTACAATCAATAGTTTTTCTTCCTACGGGCAATGGGACCACCTCCCATGTTTGGTTCTTCCGGAGAGATTCCATCTCCTCCTCCATCGCAGCCAACCAACTCACTATTCTTATCTCGAGTAGCTTCCTTGAAGGAGACCAGCTCATCTTCCTCCACCGAGAGTGCGTATTCAACCAAATTAACATGCCCATAGTGCTTCAGGGGTTGATCAGCCCCCAGCTTCTGTACCTGCTTGTATGCTCGCTTTGGCCTAGTGGAAGCCAAAGTATCCTCGAGCTGCTGTTGTTGCAGTACCTGTGTATTCTCCTGCTGGACCTCCTCTTACTCAAGCTCATCATCTACCTGATTTTCCACTTGAACATGACTAGAACCTGGTTGGTCTTTAGGTTCTATCTCAATAACCTGGGACTTTGAAGTCCCAACAGTCCCAACACCATCATCCTTGGGCGCCCTAGCAATCATGGATTTTTCATCAAAGGTAACGTCCCTGCTGATCACGAACTTTGAATCTTCTGTACACCAAAGGCGGTAGCCTTTTACGCCCTTTGAATACCCCAAGAATATCGCCTTCTTGGCCCTCGCGTCAAGCTTTCCCTCGTTGACGTGATAATAGGCGGTACATCCGAAAATTCTGAGCCTCTCATAATCCGCATGTTCCCCTGACCACACCCTATAAGGTGTATCACCATCCAATGTCGAATGTGGAGAACGGTTCACAATGTAACATGCTGTAGCCACCGCTTCCGCCCACCATTTGTTGCCCAATCCAGCATAAGATCGCATACTCATTGCCTTCTCCCGCAATGTTCGGTTCAGTCTCTCCGTGACCCCGTTCTGCTGTGGTGTTGACCTGACTGTCCAGTGTCGAACAATGCCCTCCTGATCACAGAACTTCTTGAAAGCACCATCTACATACTCTGTACCGTTGTCAGATCTCAGTGTCTTCAATTTCTTGCTCGTCCTGTTCTCAACCATTGCTTTCCACTTCTTGAATGTCTCGAATACCTCATTCTTATGCTTTAGAAAATAAATCCAAACATACCTAGAATAATCGTCTATGAACAAGACAAAATACCTGGAACCACCCTTGGAAGTTGTCTGAGCCGGATCCCAAACATCTGTGTGCACATAATCTAGTATACCTCTGCTCTTGTGATTGCTTTTTAAGAATTGGACCTTGTGCGCCTTTCCATACACACAATCCTCACAAAAATCCATGTAAGGTTTCTTCAGATTCTTCAGCAAGCCCTCCTTACCAAGCAGATCTAGACCCTTCTCTGACATGTGCCCAAGCCGCCTATGTCATAACCGTGTGTGCTCACATGGGTCTCCACCCCTTCTCTGACATGTGCCCAAGCCGCCTATGTCATAACCGTGTGTGCTCACATGGGTCTCCACCACTTTCTTCAGTTCCAACCGCTGCATCTCCTGTCACCGTCGTACCCGAGAGAGTATATAGATTACCGTGACGAACACCCTTCATCACTGTTAGGGAACCTCGAACAACCTTCTTCACTCCCTTCTCTGTAACAATCTTGCAGCCATCGGAGTCCAATGCACCCACTAAGATAAGATTCTTCCGCAAGTCGGGAACGTGCCGCACGTCCGTTAGGGTTCTGACCACTCCATCATGCATCTTGATTTTTATATCACCGAGCCCCACCATTTTACAAGCATGGTTATTCTCCATTAATACGGTTCCACCATCAATGCTTCTATAGGTAGTAAACCACTTCCTGTTTGGGCACATGTGGTAAGAGCAATCCGAATCAAGTATCCACTTACCGGAGATGTTTTCACCATCCGTAACAATATAGCATTCTTTATCGCTCCCTTCCTCCGAGGCATAACTCGCCTCTTCCTTGCCTTCTCTTCTCTCGGTCTTGTTCTTTTTTCCACCTACTCTCTT